AGGAAACAAAGGACTCCAGCAACATCAATAGGCGGACATAATTTTTAATTGAAGGAAACCATATCCTATATTCAGATATAGATCCATAACACTTTTCATTTTTTTCTACGTTCTTTTTCCTTCAGCTAAATGCAAGAATAAATCTATTTGGTTCATTTCTTTTTTACGATAATCTATTCTTGAGTCTAATTCTACATTTAATCATATATATATTTTTTTTTGCTTCCACGCATCAAAGTTGGTAAACATATATCATAGGATTCATTTTTACATAATTTGTTCTTATGTATGTTAGAACGAATAATGTTCAACTATCATCTTTTTATATCTTAAATACTAAGATGATTGACCTTCCTGAATTCTTGTGATATCTATCTCTACTGATTGTTATAGGTCACAGACATGATGGAAATTCAAAATCGAAACAAATTCAATCCGAGGTATGTTGTATACTTTTAGCAAGAACCTATTTTTATTGGATTTTAATTTTAATCCTCAACAGATCTTTTGTTGCTAATTTTTTGTCTTATCATTCATTTGTGTTCCGTCATTTGTAGATGATGTAACTGTCTCTTATTGAAGAGGAGCTTCGAAAAATATGGTTTAACATATACTCTGACATTTCTTCCTTCCCCATCGCTACTGGTAATCTCAATTTCTATTGACTTTTTACTGCAGCTAACATTATCATCATCTGCTATAGTGTGTATTATTTTGCCATTTTAACAGCTTCTCAATACTTTGTTCCTCTGCATGTCTTTTTTCAGTTCTTTTCCTTTTAGTTGTTTATAAAAGCTCATCTCATCTTATGAAACGATTTCCATGTGATGTGCACAACAACTAAAGATGCAAAACTTTCCTATTATAGTTTTATTTCTTTGTAAAATCGAAGTCTTAGTTATGCAGTCAATAGATATGCGAGTTAAATAGACATTTAATACTTTCAAGATTGTATTGGACGGACATTATAATTATGTTTTTGCTCTTCTCATTATTAATTTCATCAAATTTATATTATTATTTATTTTTGCTTTATGCTTGTGTCAAAATGTAGCTACCGTTAACTTATCAGATGAGGTGCATCGGGTTTTTGTATTGGCCGCTCTAGCGAAGATTATTTCATTTCCTTTTCTCATATCATAAAAAACGTATATGAAGGGAGTTTAAAGGGGATATTGATTACTTACCATGTTGCCTACATGTAAGTATCATTTTCATCTCATTTATAAGCGCTTTTGTGCATTTGAAATTTTCAACGAATGTGAGAACTATACCTTCCATAATGCCTCTGTGTAAGTTCATGTTCTAAAATATTTATATTCCATTTTTAAAATTTATTATTATTTTATTACATTGTCTTCCTGATTACATAATGACTTTTAACTACGTTAGCAATACAAAAGATGGAGTTTATTCATGTATCCACATATATTTTCACCCACATCTTACAAAAAAAAAAATTTGAACAGTTGATGTCTTGAATTTTATAAATTTTTCATTTCCCTATAAATTTACTAACTTCCACATTGATATAGACCACGAAGTAGGTAAGTTTTACTACTAAACAGAGATGGAAGCTGAAATTTAAATAAATAGTAATAATTTTACTTCAAAACTAATAATCCAGAAAAACTTACCCATGTTTTTCTACACAACATTTGCTGGCATTGATGTTGATGTTCGTCCAAAACGAAGAATTTCTACCAACAAAAATGCAAATTCCACATTCCAAGACATTATTCTTATCAACGAAATTTATGCATACATAAATATGAATTTTTAAATACAAAGTAATATGCTCCAATTCATGCAACTAATCTGGAATTTTATATCTTCATTTGCAGATTGCAAGCAATTATCTTGACTATATGGGACAATTTTATCGACCATGAAGGAGCTGAAATTATTGTCTGCCTTCTGAAAAATCAGTGATTATTGGAAATCATTTAAAAGTCACATCTTTTAGAGGTAAATCAAATAAGAATTTTATCTTTACATTTGATAATCCATTGTTCTTAACTCAGTATAACTTAATTACATAATTATATTTTATTGAACAGGAATGTCACTATCCACAAAAGCAAACAGTTCAATCCTTATTAATCCGAAATTCGAAAAACTTGCTGAAATAAAA